CTGGCAGCTTCTCAAGAAGGACTCAGCACCATGGAGTTTGTTAGTTATTTATCTGGTCCTCACAACATACGAGTAGCAGCTCCTATGGTAGATGTCAGCACTTTACCCAAAAATGTGCCATCTTGAAGTTAAACTTGCAAGTGAACTGTCTTAACGAACAAAGGAGTGAAGAAGATAAAGGTATGGAAGCGATGAAGAACAGTATAACAACTGGTTTAGGGCGGAGATACGAATAAATGATTCTGGACTGAATTTCGACGTGCTTTTCCAAAAACACGCTAACATACGGGGAAAAGTACATGTCTTGATACATATAATATATTCGAGATGTGGAAGTATATAAATGAGTCTATTGTAAGAATGATATCTCTTTCTTGTAATTTATAATGCGGCTAAATGAGTGGAAAGAATTCAATTTTGTTTCAAGTAACGGCATTTTGAGCAAGACAAAAAACATTGTTCTCTCCTCTGCATGGTCGGGACTGGCTACGAAGCCCGACCAGCGTCCGACCCAATGGCTACATGGGGATCTCACCCCGGTGGGTCAGCAGATGGGGGACGAAACTGATCACTCCTCTCCATCTAACGCCGAGGTTAAGAATGCATGGAACTGTATCTTCCTGCCGTGATTCCTAATTAAACAAGGCGATAACTTTAGTTTTAGAGCTTATTTTTTTCGGCGTCTTACACTCGGGGCATGGAAGTTTATGTCTGGCACTTATTAAATGTGTCAGCCAACAAGGTCGAGGCTTTTGTTGTAACGGTTTGGACGACACAAGGTAACTAAATAATTAGTTAACTAAATGTCCGCATAATGATAACGGCCTAGACTCATATTCTGAAGGTACTGAGTTTGAACCTTCACTGAGATCACCGCGGTTTTCCTTAGTCCCTATAGACAAACGGAAGGATATTACTTAGTTTCGCCCACAATCGTGTCCTTCCAAATCCTTTATAATTCACCCGCCGGTCATCTTAACATTAAACGATATCCATTCTAGTTACTGATAGACACAATACGATCCAGAAATGAAACGACAGGCATCAGATGTCGGAAACCTAGATTTTAGGTTATTATAACCATTAAAATGAAGATGGTACATTTTGTAACGTCAAAGTTTAATTAGCGCATTATCATAAACAACAGATAGTGATAGTCTATAATATTGTGACGTGTTTAGTGACAAGAGGCGGGTTTTGGATTGATTACTGGATTTATTAGACAATTTTACAGCTCGTGACTACACTTCACAGATCACTCACACACAGAGTAGTGTTCCCAGTTACGTTGCTTGGTAACGGCTTCAGTGGTAGAATTTCCTCTGTTTCTGGGCTCTCGTCCTTGCAGGGTGGCGACCATCTTACGTCATCCTCGTACGTTGGTCACTGACTTCAGTAGGCACTCCCTTCAGTTGCTGGCTCCCGGCCTGGACTGACTTCTAACTTCCAAGTCAAAGTCGAAGTTATGAGCGACGGTCAGTCGGAAAGCCTTTGTGTCAGGCCCCATCTGGGGCCAAGATAAAAATGGAATCCGCGGCCTTCCGGCTTGTAGCATTGTGCCTGAACCGCGTGCCCAATGAATACCAATGAAGATTCAAAATAGCAGGGACGTATAAAACACCTATTACCCCATTCTTTCAAGAAGTTGGAATGTTAAAGAAGTTTATTTATATTCCCTCAAAATATTATAACGTACGGATGCCTGGCTCCACTGGACGAGGTGCTATGCTGTTTCAGCGGAGGAACAATAAAGCAATAAATTTTCATTATGTTCTCATCAAGAAATGGATATGTGACTTGGCGTGACCGCGTCGACAAGACGACTTCATTACAATATTGGAGCTGCGATGCGGATGTTGCAATGAGGTATAGTCCTACGAAATAACGGGAACACAGCGCTGCTGACGAGGAGATATACGAAAGTAGTAGTGTGTGTTCGGGTGTAATCTTGAGCTCTAATTACGCTGCGTGAGACACTAAAGGTGCTGCCACACACAGCTTTACGCTATGTTCGCTACACCGCGTGGCCACACAGAAAGCTATGTTTGGTACGAAACTGCTCAGTCTTGAATGATATGTTGGCCGACAGTGTGCCTTGGGGGGGGGGGCAGCGATGATTCCGAAGATGAGCTTTTGCTGTTAATTTCCTTGTGTAAACGTAAAAGGAAGTGAGTGCATGGCGTGAACTTAAGAAGAACAAAGTTTGGTTAATTTCATCATCTGATAAAGCAGTTACGTGAAGATGAAGTTGAATTTAAAGAATATTTCCGAATGAACGGGGTTGATGAAAATATTTTAAGTTCTTCACTTATAGATAAAAGAACAATGTTTGTACATTGGCTGGTGTATTCAGTTCTCCAGAAATCATGTCCCAGGCATTATCCCGCATGTTCTGGTTCCGATATTCTTCTAACCCTTTGTTCCACAAACATGGATACTTCCTTGCTTCTTCAATTAATTCCTCCAGTGTAATTTTCATCTAAGCGAATACTGCGCTGAATGATACGTAACACGTGTTGTAATCAGAGTAGGGAATTACTGAGGTGCGCAGCTGACACCTGGAAGCGAGCCCAGTGCGCATGCCCGACCAGCGCGACGTTTTAAAAATATAGCCGAGAATCAAACACACTGCGACGCAGCGAACATAGCGAACACAGCGTACGTAGCGTACGTAGCGTACGGAAGTCTGTGTGGCCCGTCACATTGGCAATAAATGGAGATATTTTTCTGTTTGTATAGCGAACATAGCGTACGTAGCGCTCTGTGTGGCCGCACCTTAACTCCGCTTTCCTACACTCCTTGACGCGTTGCCTCAATGAACTTCGTAATTTGTTCTCTTGGTTCTTTAATTTCATTGTATCATATTCAGAGTTTAAATATTGTGACATGTAGACCCATTCCCAAGTAACAGCTGTGTAAACAATATTAAAGATATTTCACTAACTAGCTGTAGTATAAATTCAAATGCAATAGGTCTATTTCATCTACTTCCTACTGCCGAAGTAATAGAGCGAAAACAAAGAAATCTACTCGTGTTCTTGCCAATATGCACTATATGGCAGCCACGCACATTAAAGCGACATGGAATTGTTGCGGAAGAATCAGTATATGCCATCGGCACCTCATTCCAAATCCGTGTTTTCTAAGTGCTAGCAATGCCCACTCGGAAATACGGTTTACTACTGCCACCGGTCAAAAGGTGAATTGGTCTTCGGCCCTCAGCCGTGGAATTTGCAAGCTGGAAAACTCTCAACTTTCAGTGTAATTTAATATACGTGTAATATGATGGGATGTAATTGCATCCCAAGTGAATCACAATGAATATGCTTAATGCGTGTAATGTATGAAATTGTTACTCGTAACATCCCGAGCAGTTAACGTTAGCAATGCCATTTGTTATCGCGTAGTGCGGTAAGAGGTCATGTTCAAGACCGGTATGTGGCGTGACCCACGGCTTTACATATACAGAAGGTAATTATTTGGTCTACATTTTAACGCCTTAACTGAGTATTGTCATTTATTTGCTCTTTAATTAATAATACGAAATTCTGAAGGGAATCAATTTATCCCGGTAGATAAAATAATAATTTTGTTTTTATGAAACAAATAGAAGGCTGATAATACTGCAGGAAGCGACCAGTACTGGGCCGGTTGTGTCACAGAAGCGCGGCTCTGTATACGCACATTGTTTTGTCCATCTTTCGGACTGCGCCTTCGTTCCCTTGCCCCTCCCCCTTTCCCACCAATTCACCTCATTAGTGCTGGCGGCCCTTCCTTCACGCCTTGCAGCATACAGATATGTGACATGGCTATGTCGACTTAGAAATTTGGTCTGATTGTCATTTTAAAAGTGGGATCTCGGTACCTCCCTTCGAAGCACTCCAGTCCATAGTCGTTTGCTGAGGTAAATAGTTTCAATATCTCCTGAATTGGGAGGGGGATACCTCGGTATTGGCAGGGCACTTGACCCTACTATGACTGGTTATTCTCTTTTTTGGCCATTTAGGATTTTCTTTTTATTCTTTAACCTACCATGCAGACGGGAGCAGTGCTTTCCTGTGGAACATGAAATTGTACTAGACTGGACAGCATCACATCTCGAAAGATAATATTTTCCATAATCGCTATTGTATCCTGATGATTAAGGTAATATTCCCATGAAACGCCAGTAAACTTCTACCAGACTATTCGGCGTCACACTCCAGAACACATTTTTCGTGGTCACTCTTCTTTCCTGAATGTAAGGTTGTCCATTCCCCCGAAACGTCAGATAATCTCCTAAGGCCCATACACACACAGTTTGGCCTTTCGATCGACCTTACAGGCAAAACTGTGACAGTTTACCCCCTCCCTTTCATCCCCATACACGCGCAGATAAAGCGGCAGGCTTCATGCCACAATCACTGTCTTCCAGCCTATTATGCTGAGTCACACACGTCACGTGCTACGGTCCTGCAGGCAGAACTGACGGACTGACGGGTTTCCCACAGGCCAACAGTCCAAACGATTGGCCGGCCGGCAGCACCACACACGTCAGTTTTGCCTTTCAGTCTTCAACTGTGCAGGCCGAACTGGAGGCCCAACTGTGTGTGTGTATGGGGGCCCTAACAGACTACATCGTGTCAGTATTCCCCTTTGTAGTCATAATTTGACAATCTACCAGGTAATACGAGTACATTTATATTTTTTGGACACTCGCTTTCCATAAATTGACAGCGGTATGATTTTGGCCTTGGTAGAACAATAATACTTTCTTCTATGGGCCTTAATTTATATATTGCTTTTCGTAAGGAACACAGAATTGTAATTCAGAGAATTAGGTCAAGCGTAGGCTTAAAAATAGGAAGACGAAGGTGCCATTCCTTGCGTTAGAAGCACTGTGAATATGTAATTTCGCTAAAACCTAAATTGTTTTGCTTTTTAAGTGATTTCGTCACGTCTCATGCTCGTAACAATTTTAATATTGAAGTTACTGCGCATGCCACTGCGCAGGTACTTACCATGCGGGACCCAACTATGGTTGCATGTGTCGCAGTAACGAATGTTCATCTTGCCTGGCCTGAAGCACTCACAGGAACAGCTCGGCACAGTACAACGGATAGCCTGTAACGCAACCAGTACGTCATTTTATTTAGGACATATAAATATTCGCGGGTCGTTAATTTCTACGAGTATGTCCTACAAGAATAGAATGAATGTTAACATACTTGTAAGATTTGAGGTTTTCACGGTGGTGACTATGAACAATGCCGTCTTCTTTGATGTAGCGCCGTGTAGATATTGTGTAAACCGATGTTTCGGAGGAAAGTATCGCCTCAATCTTCTGGGTAGAAGAAAAAATCCACGAGCGAGGAACCAGCTTGAGCAGGTGGCTGCAGACTGCAGAAACCTGCTCACACTGGTTCCTCGCTTACAGTTTTTGTTTATACCCTGAAGATGGAGGCTATACGTTACTCCGAAACGTCGGTTAACAATATCTACACGGCGCCACATCCCAGAAGATGGCATTGTTCATTAACATACTTATTTCGGTTAGAACAGTGTTTTAATTAATCAATTTGTATAAAAGAAATACTATCTTTTTTTTTTCTGCTTCTATTGACTGTTTAGTGTTCAGATGTTCTCGTTCCGTTGAATGAACAACTATTAAAAGTAGTCGCCTCTGTTATCAGCTAGCTGCCTTAGAACGCAGAGAACACATCAAGTAATTCGTAATACGACACACCAGGATCCCATGGGTCAATAGTCTTGCCAGCTCATTTTATCAGAACGGATGTAAGATGAGTTCAATTCTAATAAAAGATCACGAACAATGCTCCCCACTTCGCGACCCCCCCNCCCCCCCCCAATACGCATGTATGTCCCCTGCGCTCCCGCTGCTTGTCAGTGTCGCGTATGTTATGGATGAAAGATGACGAAAGAAAGTCAGGCCTACGCCTTGTATTTCCCTTGGCCCTTCTTTAGAATTAGTTTTCAAATATATATTGACGTACATGTTTTCCTTTATTCTTCGGAGACAGAACGGGACGACGGTCAATACTTGCAGCGGTGTTAGCATGACCTCAGAGTTCATTAGCCATGTTTCGTTCTACATTTTAAATGTTGGTCTTCTTAATTATGTTACCATGTACAAATGTTAAGTTTATAATATAATTTTAGAAGCACTCGCTGCTTCCATTTTACAGTGTAATTTCTGCTCTAAAGAAAGAAGAAGCAGATTAATTAATTAATTCGCATATTGGGGGGTGAAGTCCAGTTGGGTCCACTCGACACGGCTGCAACTGATTGACTTATTGTACCTGCCCCCGATGGTTATGATGATGGAGAATTTGGTGGAATGAAGACTGGCAGGGGAAACCGAAGTACTCGGAGAAAACCTACCCCAGCGCCACTTTGCCCACCACAAATCCCACTTGACCAGACCCGGGATTTGAACCCGGGCCGCCGCTGTGGCAAGCCAGCGACTAACCGCTTGAGCTATGGCGCGGCCATGAAGCAGGTTACTGAGATATGCTTATAATAAACTGAAGGTTTAAAACTTAGCGAACCCATCTAAAAGCAAAATCTTGAGAGAAATAGTAACACCTACAAAACTGAGAAGATAAATATGGTCTGAAGGTTTTGTCTCTGATAAATGTTGAGATGAGAGAGTTAGAGGACCAGGGATGGAAGTGGTAACCGCGAAAGAGGAAGACGGTGAGTCAGTACGGTATGTAGGAACATAATTCAGGCGTATGTTTTACAGGGAATTATCTTCTTCTGGAATGTGATATCGTGTCTTCTGGCAAACATATGCCCATTGGTGGTTAAAATCCACGGGGTTGCTACGTTTCGTTGACAGCCTTTAAGTAGCGGACAACTGTTGTTTCTGAAGCCATTGTTCCAATGTCACTCATCACTTTTATATACTCAGAATATATACGTATATAATATGTACATAGGCATACATTACTATATGCCGGTCACAGTGACCGCGAGTTCTAAAGCATGAACTGTCTTCGATCCCTCTAAATCAGGGATCGTGTGTTCGAATTCCACTCAGGGCATTGATATCTCTGTGTGCATTTATTCTGTGTTTGTGTTGTTCTGTGTGTAGGTAGCAGCATTGCGACGGGCTGATCCCCCGTCCAAGGAGTCCTACTGACTGTTTATAGTGTTCTGTGTGTAGGTAGCAGCATTGCGACGGGCTGATCCCCCGTCCAAGGAGTCCTACTGACTGTGTATAGTGTTCTGTGTGTAGGTAGCAGCATTGCGACGGGCTGATCCCCCGTCCAAGGAGTCCTACTGACTGTGTATAGTGTTCTGTGTGTAGGTAGCAGCATTGCGACGGGCTGATCCCCCGTCCAAGGAGTCCTACTGACTGTGTATAGGATTAAGAAACCGAAAAAGCGACCAAGTCCAACAAAACACTGCCGAGCCAGAGATATATACGTGTATTACTGTTCTGAGTTGATTAACAATCGCCATTTGGATGAACCTGCGATACGTCCTCCTTATGCTGTACTCTCTCTTTCACCAATGAAATAAACTGCATTTCTGCTGTGAACATGACATCGCGAGGAGCTGGGATAGTTCAGTCTGTATTACGACGGCCTAGAGTACCAGGGTTCGATTCTCTGCTAAGAAAACTGACTTATTTCTATACTCTGTAATGTCCAGACGGTCTCTGGGGCTCGTCTAGCCTCCTACGTAATGGATAGCTCATTCGGTATAGCGACTCGCTAGGGGCTCGACAACCTAGGAGGTCGGAGTACCAGTCTCGGTATAGTCAATAATTTTTTCTTTTCTCCGCTTCATCTAGACCGGCTCTGGGGTCCACCTAACCTCCTGTTCAATGGATACCGGGGGTTCTTTCCCTTGGGTAAAGCAGCTGGGGCGTGAAGTTGATCACTCACCTCCCGTTAGTGACGGAGTCAAGAAAATGTGGATCTATACATCAACTCCCCCATACGTCTTCATGGCGTAGTGCTTAATTACTTAAGCACAGGGACAACTATATCTCACATTAATTTTACCGCCGACTTTTTCTATGGAGACAAATTTGCCGAGATATAAAGATGGCCACACACTGCAATATACTGCGCAGGTGTAGACGGCGCGATTCTCAATTAAGCACAAATTTACATCTTTCTTACATTGCATGAAATCGTATCCCAGAGGGCAGCAAATTTCGTGTTGATCGCCGTGTTTAAATTATTTCTTTTTAACGGTCCACGTGTTGTATCCGGTACCATCGAATCTCTGCTTATTCCGCGGTCTCTCCCTAAACCTGACACTATTCAAATGTTCAGCTGGAAATTCATAATATTCTGTAACATTCCAACGAAAATTTCATGACGTAATATACCAACTTAGCACGGAATTGTACTGTTTTTCAGAAATTAATTTTTTGCTGTGATCTAGGCAGTAAATGACCTCTGTCCTTTAATCTCGTAAGATTGTGGCTGTGAACCAACAATACAGCTGCTGAAAAATTTTGCTCTTTATCGTCAATGTCCAAAGGGCCTACTTATGTTACTGCGCACACGCATAGCAGCCTATTCGCTCCAGAATTTATGTATGGAACACAATTTTTTAAAATCAGATTACAAATATGGACTGTCATTCTTCAAAGATGCAGATGTTATTTGTCATCGATCATTCCATGAAACTAAGTACACGAGATGTTCTTCGTTTGATATGACAAGGATCGCAATAGGGGGACACACACAGTCCCATAGATCCTCCTTTGATAGGACATGATCCTTTGTCGCGGGAACATATTGCCGAGCCGTTGCTTAACATCGAAAAAGGGATACAGTCTATCGAGCCTTTGCCTAGAAATGATAGGAGGAATAAACATTGAGACGCACAGACTGATGGGAGGGATTCATGAAGTACGCAGTTGTCATGGGCTCAGGTGTCGTGATATGCATAAAAAGATTTATAAAGGTTCGTTCAGGCGTTCAAAATTTGGTAAGTGGAGATAGATAAACACACAGCATGGTGACCTTATAAGCCAACTTTATTTTTTTTAAATAAAGAAAATAGTCTAAAAAGTTAAAGAGAAATTGAAAAGTGAATATAAGATCCTGTGGATTGTTCACCACAGTGCCAAGTGGAGTAGTCCTCTAGCAAGAAGACTATATTGGCCTATGGAACCTACGTGAAGACCTTGATACTGGAGAGATTTGCGGATCATCCTGTGCAGAGATAACCTGCACGGTGGTGCGTTCTACATGCAATAGATACTTAGGACCAGGGCAGCCCCTCTAGAGACCCCACGTAACCCCTCTTTATTTTTGCGCCACGGAAAACATACAGCCATTGTTTTATGTCAGGGAAATTGGAGTCAACCTCAATGTTACCACGGGGAGCCCTTAACGAGCCCAATTTGAATATATTTGACATGGATTTTAAAAGACCGTGAATTTTTATTACGCGTCATCTGTAAATATTGACCCCCCGAGGCTTTTAGTTTGCTGCAGGACGGGGAGAGGAGAGGCGGGAAGTGATAGGAAGCGAGGAAGACAAAGCGAAGCAGTCACTGCAGAAAGTTGGAAGGCTCGATAGTTCGACAGTCCATAGCCTGAGGCAGGTGATGCATTTGCATTGGGATTGAACCAGCCGTGCCTGAAGAGAATAAGCCTTAAATAAAACAGATAAATGTTCATTTGTCCAACGGAATTTTATGTCTGATGATGGTCTGACCATGTACCTTCGGAAATGGGAACGAAATGTTAGGAGTTTCTGAATAACCTCTGATGATATTACAGTTATTATATATTCAGAGTTTATCTGACTGTCATCATGCTAACTGGCTCAAAGGGTAACGATTTTGACGTCTGTTCCGGAGGTGTTTGGCTCGAATCTCGACTGAGTCACTCACTACCCTGATTGAATTTCTTCACGGTTTTCAGACTCCCTCCAGGTAAATGCCGAGAAATGGCTGACTAACATACAAACAAACAAAGCAATTAACACCAATGGACCGAGTCCTCCTTCAGAAGCCAGCAGTTGCTCACTTACTCAAGGAATTTCCCAAAATATTTTGAAACCAGAAGGTTCATTACCGTGTTCACAATACCACCCCACTAATTACTTCTTAAGCTAGATGACTCCAG